GGCTGGGGAGGGACTACAGCTCTGGAGCCCCCATGGATAGGAAGCTGTTGCCTTCACAGGGGTAGCCTGGAGTTCATCTTTTTTCGTTGTTAATATATAGTATGTGGCCATGAGATAATTGTTATTTTTATTTCTCAACGTGTCCTTGATGTCTTGCCATGGGAAGTCCAGTTGCAGCATCTTCCTGGCAACCCAGGGGTCTATGACATCCCTGCATGGCTCAATGTATGGCTCCAGCTCCTCCTCATAGCCCTCATTGAGCCAAGGGTCCGGCAGTATGGTTTGCAGGCTTTCTCTGCCCTCAGGATTGAGATGGATCAGTTTTTTTAGGAGGATTGTCACTCCTGAGGAGAAATATGTTGGCACGATGTACTCTCCTTTGAGTACCTTGTGCTTTATTTCGTCCAAGTTTTTTCCTGTGAAAGGGTAGGTGTCCGTCAACATCTTGTACAGCAGCACCCCCAAGCCCCACATGTCCATGGCAGGGCCATGATATATTTGCTCAAGGAAGAGTTCTGGGGGTGCTGCCAAGGGGTTGCCACAGAACATGCTGAGTTCATGTTCTTTGAATGATGCTGCAAAACCAAAGTCCACAACTTTTGCATTCATGCGCCAGTCCAGCAGCACGTTCTGTGGTTCTAAATTCCTGTGGGCAATGCCCTTGGTGTGGCAGTAGTGGAGTGCTGAGACTAGCTGCCGGAAGAGCTTGCGGGCCAGGGCCTCGGGCATGCGGCCATGTGCACACAGGTAGTCCTGTATGCTCCCGTTAGGCGCGAGTTCCATGACTAGAAAGAGGGAGTCAGGAGAGCAGATAACGTGGTATAGTTGGATAATGTTGGGGTGGTGGTGCAAGTGTTTCCTGCAGCGGAGTTCTCGCTTGATGTTTCTGTGCACTGTGATGTAGTCCCGTTCATGAATTATTTTAATGGCCACCTGACACCTTGTTAAAAGATGGTGTCCCAACACCACTGAGGTAAAGGGGCCCTGACCAGTGGTTTCCCTGAGCTCGTAAGAGTCAATACCGGAATTCTGGTCAACATCGATTTCATGAAAGAAATACTCCATGGTGACCTAACTACACT